AGAGATTCCCTTCAATCTACATTTAGATTGTTTCTGTTATCTCTACAACTGCTTAGAGGAACAAGTAATAACTTCTATCCAATTGTCTCCTTAGGAGGCTGGAGATGCACAAGAAAGAGCTAGGTGCTGCTTAAAAGCTCTTGGAGCAAATAAATGAAATTAGAAAAGTAATGCTGAGAAGTCTTCTGTTAAATTTGATTTATTCCATTGATCAACCTTGTTCTGTTCAATTATAATTTGTGTTTATGCAATAATAACCAGGTGCCTCCTCTAGGAGTTAGAGAATAGAAATAGAATAGAAAATCCCTTTACTGTCCCACAATGGGGAAAGTGTGTTACATTGTTATAAATATTTTTTGTTTTTCTTGTGTTTTTTTTTTTTCTACATCAGTCAGGGTAAAACAAGACTGCAAAACAACTTAGTTTATATAAATATATAATACCACCGAAGACTTATTTTATCATCAATTCGCAAGCACCAAGCACTGAACATCTTTACAAGATTTATTAAATCTGAAGCTGATCAAACAAACTTCCAGGAGAAACTGAAATGGAGAAACAGAGGTTTTGTGACAAACAACTGACTGGTGAGATAAAAAAAAAAATACTGTATTTTTGATGATGGTTCAATCTCACAGCTTTAGTAGAGCTTGGAGTCCTTACAGGATTTTCCCAATATGGTCTCTTTGTATCCCTTTTCCGATGAAAAATGGCATCAAATAGGAAAGGATGTGGAAAGAAGGCAGGTGAGGGTCATAAAGACAGAGGCAGGTAGTGAGTTAATCAGGCACTGAGAGACCTGAAGCCAAAGGTTGAAATCCATGCCTGCGATCCATGTCCAGAAGGCAGGGATAAATGCAGAGCCCAACAGGGGTAAAGCAGAAAAACAAAATGAAAGGGCAGAAATGCGGTCATAATTGGAATATTAAATATTTTGTAAGGAATGGAGGCTTTACATGTACAAGTAAACTGCTATAATGATTTGGGAAGGTGTCTTAACCCTTTAAAGCCCGATCCAAGAAAAAAACAAAATAGAAAATTACTTTTTTTTTGGTTTGAATTCCTTATTTGCCCTTTTAACAAAATATGTAAAAAGAAAAAAACAGAAATACATTTTTGATATTAATAATTTATCACTATGCGATAAGTCAAGATTATTTTTTGTGTAGTCTTCTACTGGCTGTTATCAGGTATATCTGATTGTGTACAATAGGATTTTGAGCAAAGTTTTTACCATTAAATTATGCAAAAGTAGTCAGATGCAAAACATTTCAGAAACCGTATGTATCAAATATGATATATTTGGCATTATAGAGTTAAAAGTAGAGCAACACTGTAGGTAAAATAGGCAGGCAGAGGTGGGCTGAAGAGATTGATTACTGCCTGAAACATGAGCTGGTATGGAAACAATCTAAACACTACGCATACCGCTCCATTTAACATTGAGTCCCCTCCAGTCAAAACTGACCAGGCTTAGAAAGAGTTTTTTATTAAAATATCCCAGGTGTATCTGGCATGAACCATATATGACTAAGAAATACACAACATATATAGCTTACATGGGGGAGAATCTGCAATGCTGTTGGCCTCTTTTTTTTTTTCGTTTTTTTCCTTGTTACGGTAGCTTATATGACATTGAAATTTTATATGGACTTTATAAAAAATAAAATCAGTAGTTTCACTAGAACCTGCTGCACTCACTCTTTTGGCTGTATACAAATATGCACCATTTGTGGCCAAATATAGACAGAAAAGGATAAGTAACAAAATAACCTTTCCCCCATGGTCATTAAAGCCCCCAGACCTAAATATACAGAAAATGTGTGGAAAGAGTTGCAAAGAAGAGAGGATATAAAGAACCCAGTGTATTAGGTTATAGAAGTATTGTTCAATGAGAAATTATGAATGATTAAAATCGTTGTATTTTCCAACCTTGTGTAATTACAGGATTAGTAGAGCAATAGTTCCTGACCTCATGAAATGTCAAGAAAGCCACAGGTATTCCCTTTCGTGTCTCGAGCCAAGTCTCTTTTAAGCAAATAAACAGGGGAAGTCAAGAGACTAATTTTGAGTCTTCAGCAAGTCATCTGACTTAATATGACATTTAATTGCATAATTAGTTCATTTTACATAAAACACTTATTCATATATTGTATTTGTTTCCCAGAATACTAAGCAAGAGAAACTGAGCTTTAAAAATATCAGAAAACTAGAGTGGATCTTTCTTGTCTTCGCAAATATTAAAGGTATAGTGGATGATCTTTTATTTCTGGGTGGATCATCTAAATAAGTGGTCCCCCTAATTGTCAATCATTCTAGCGATATGTTTACGTGAGGCCGTCCTACATGCTCATCCCGTTAGCTATCTTTTTCTGTGCATGCACACTATCAGGCATGTATCTGTGGTGAGCTACGGTTTCAGACAGTCATTGAAGCTAACGACTGACCTTAAACGACCGACATTTCAGACACTTGGATATGGAGTATTGCAGTTTAACAAAAGAAGCCAAACGAACCCAATTCCAAATGGGTTGACCCCTTCGTCTGTTCCAACTTGCATGTTTTCGAAACAAAAACAAGGCTTTGTTGGGCTACTGTATAAAACCTCGAGCTCAACGCTATTCCTGACATTTTGAATTGAAAAAGCTTCCTGGATGGGAAGTGAAACGTCTTCAAACTTGGAAACAAAATCCAGTCAATTGTTTTTCATTTTCTTTTTTGAACTGAAGCTCACCTTTCTTACCAAGGTCCTTTGAAAATGCCTCAGACCTCATAGAGGCAGATATATCCCAGAATGCTTTGTGCGGAGAGCTCTCATAGCAAAACTTTATAGCATTTGCTGTCACAGCCGGCCCGCTGTCACCATATGCTCTCGCTACCCAACAGCGGTTGTGACAAAGAATGTGCAGGCACCACACCGTTAAGGATAAGTTACATGACCAGCAGAGCAAAAAGCAGTATTCATCGGTCCAAACGGTCAATTAACAGAGTTTGCTATAAATTCCACTATATAGTCCCCACTCCATACAGTGACTGAGGGATTTAGGGGTTAGAGGGGATGTTCAGACACAGTAAGCTTGTATGAGCTATGAGAACATCAACTTTTAAGCAGTGTGTGCACACAGAGAAATGGGCTTGTGCATGCTCTCACACACACATTTCTTTTAAAAAATCTGCGTAAAATCCTCCACAATACCTTTAAAGGTGTACTATGCAACCGGTGTTGATTTTCCAGCGAGGCTCCCCCCAGAGGGCGAAAGTAAAAGTGCACTGTCGTAAATATGCTCAGCTGTTCTCCTGATTTCTCCGTCAAGCCAGGCGCGGTTGTTTTGAGCTTAGCAGACAGGCGAACGCAAAGAATCACCATGTCTACTGCGGTAAGTGACTATTTTGTTTCAATTTTCGAGTTTGAAAATTTAGCATGTTTTCATACATTAATTGTTATGCATGTGTCTAAATAACAAAGATTGTAGTTAGCCAAGTTCTCGCCGTAAAGCAAGATCGACTCTCGTAATGCACCAACCTTCTGAGCCTGTAGGTGCGGGCCGAGGGCTCCTGCAATTGCAAGTACGGTATTTCCCCTACAGACCACCAGGGCGGCCGAGAAAACCTTTGTTCGACCTGAAATGACTAATTTAATCATCCAAAACGTTATGGAACACATTAATTAACTGAAAAATGTTGCATAGTATGCCTTTAACTTAAAAAATTCATAAATTTAGAGAATAGGAGAGTAAGCTCTTTACAATATTAGATTGTCTGTTCAGCTACAATAAACCTTTTTTTTACTATGTTTTATTAAATGTGTCAGATGATTACAATAACAAATCAAGTTTTTTATAAAACTGTATAAATAATGAACTTTCTGATTTGATTTTGTCCGACATGATTACGACGCTGCCAGCTTGGATGCAGTGATGTTGTGATTCAGGCTCAAAGCAAAGAGACTGAATGCACACATACATGTAATCAGCGAAAGTCATTTAATTTGAATAAAGGTAATTCTGGTAATATTACCATAACTTTTTTACTTTTGCAAAGTCTTCAGACTGGTCTTATCGTTTGATTCAGTGGCTGTTTCAGGATCCATGATTTGATTAGCAAGCAAATAAAATTACTTAATTTTATTAATAATTTTAACAAATATAGGTCACTATTTTACCTTTGACTTATTCCTCTCTGTGTAGGTTTAAATGTAAAAAAGGATAGTTATATTGTTTTAATTCCCTTTTTTATAATCTAAAGTGTATTTCTTTTTGATCATCCAGTAATTCGAGCTTTAATTTTAAAATCAGATATCTTATTTCTCTGGTTAGTTAAGATTAAATGCATAAAGTTCTGTCAGCTCACTATAAAGCTTTTTCTTAAGGTTGACCCAATTTGGCATGAGGGAGAGATGGAAATAATAAAATTTTTTTTTGGTCACTTATGTTAGCTTTTGCTTTTGTTTAAGAATGTTTCCATTATGACTGTACGGAAGACATCCCAGGCTTTGAGCATTTTGCACTGGCTCCATTACCCATTATTATACCAAAACATGTGGCTGCTGTGGCATCCAGCGCTATATTAATAAAACTGCTGGCAGCCCTTGCATTTCCGTCACTGTCCTCAGGCTTGCAATTAGGAATCCCAGAAACGTCCTTTTGACTGCAATTAATCTGTTTTTTAAAAGTGTCTTACAGTTTAGGTAAACAGTTACGGTGCATGGTAGAGTGTGTTTTATTTCACTAGTGCTAGCCACAGCTTTGTGCACACCTAACTGATCATGCTGAATGATAGCGCTTCAACCTTCCTCATCTTTCCTCTCACTATACAAGCAGAATAAGGGCGGGTGACCAATGTAAAGGACTGAGTCTGCATTGGGGCGGTAGGAAGAAGAAAATTTTTTTTTCAAATGTCAAGCCAACTGGTTTATGTACCATGCGTGTTTGCATTGTATTTGTCGTCAAATCTAAAGTAATATGAAGTCAAACGGTAGTAGTCCCAGGTAAATGCTGTAATGGGTAGTTAACAATTAAAATTAAGTTTCTTTAACTATTTAAACTTGTAAACTATTTATATTTAACTATTTATAGGATATATTTATTGTAAATTATTTATATTTAATTATTTATAGGATATATTTATTGTAAATTATTTATAGGATTGCAGATTGTTTGATTATATTTGTCTGTTTTGATTACCACTGTTTTGTATTGTGTTTTGTTTATTGTATTTGCATGTTGTAAAATTTCCTTTGTTATGTACCTCACGGGCTGCCGCAGCTTAATGAGGACAGGCCCTATAAAGGCCGCTGTATCAATGTATGCCGACAATAACCCTCAGAGCCGTGCTTGCATTGTGATTCTTAGCGTTCCCTGGTGAAAGCAGCGAGGTACGTTTTATTTTGTTTGTGTGTTGTAAGTTTATGTTTATATTCTAATATTTGTATTTGTTTAGTTTTCACGGTGACATTGATGACTGAGATGATCCGCATCAAAGAAAATAAACATTGAAAATCACCTGTCGAGACCGCTGAAATTTCATTCACTGCTGGGGAGCTGCTACAGTGAAAACTCGTAGCTTCTGTGCGTCTGGACATCCATTGACGGCGAGAATTCTGGATCTGACATCGGCCGAAGTTTGACGCAGCATCAGAGTCAACGCCTCCATGAGGAGTTGTCTTCGCGGTGGATCCAAGTTTGCTTCAGAAACTGAATCCAACAGATGATCGCTGGCTTGGTGAGAAATTGACTTATCAAACACGGAAACAACTTGAAGATGACGTCACCTGACTTTTATTGGCGTTTGTGAAATTACGCCGAATTATTTAAAAGGTAACTGGACTAATTAAGAGGAAGAAAAAAAAAATAATAATAATAATAAAAAATAAAAATAAATGAAAAAAAAAAAAAAAAAACATTTATGGGTTTAATTTCACTGTAAGGTTTAAGTCATTGTAAAGGGTTAAGATGTCACTGCCAAGTGTAAAAGGACTTTCTACTGAAGATGTGTGCTCTGATGTAAAGCCAAAAGGACAAGAGTTGGTTTCAGGTCCACGGACAAGAAAGTTAACTGGAAAGGGAGAGCAGTACAGAGAAGCAGAATCTGCAAAATGGATAAAGGCATTTCTTAAATCTTATGGATCCTGGAAGCAAATTGCCAGGGAAGCCAGGAGGAAATTAAAAGGTTTCTGCTCTCAGGAGAATCTGAATGAAATAAATCAGCAAGTCCAAAACAGTCTTGATAAAGTGAAACAAAATTATGAGTGTCTTCAACGTAATTCTTTAAATACTCCAGATATTGTGCAGAAACTAGATGCCTGTACTATATTAACAAATGAGATTTATGATCTTGTGTGTAAGCGTTTGGAAGGGAGTATTGTTGAAGAAAATTTTAATCAAGAAGTTGAAAAGGAAAGGGTGCGAGAAATCTTAAATAGAGATGAATATCAGTCTGTTTTTGGAGAAGCCTCTACTGAAAATTCTTCATGTGCATATGGTTCATCAACTACCAGTTCCAAAGTTTCTCAAGAGCGGGTAATTGCAGAAGCTGATCTTGCAGCCAAAAGGGTTCAAGTTAAATCCATGTTGGAGATTGAAGCTCAACATGCTAAAGTCAGTAAACTTGAATGTGAGTGGAAATGTCATGAGTCCCAGATTATGGCAGAAATGAAGCAGAAGGAGGCTGAAGTGCTGCAGCAACTTGATGAGGAAAAGAGCAAGTTAAAGGTAATGGAGACTGATATGGAAGTTAAAATGGCTGCAGCTCGGGTTGATGTTTACAGCAGACTTGAGGATGGTGTTGAAAGGGAAAATCTTGATTTTGAGCCTGAAGTTAAGTCAATGCAACCTTTAAAACACCCAAGAAAGTCGACTGCAAGGGCTGCAACTATTTTACCATCTCAAGTTTGCTCTGAGATTTCTGCAGTAAACTTGGCTGAAGCCTTAACGAGCTCGTTAAGTTTAAGTCGCCTCCCTGTTCCTATACCTGCCATATTCTCAGGTGACCCTTTGAAATTTGTGGACTTTAAGATATCATTTACAACTTTAATTGATTCAAAGGCCATCTCTGCTGGAGAAAAAATGTTGTATCTGAAAAGTTATCTCTCTGGAGAAGCCCGAAAGGCTGTAGAAGGTTTCTTTTACAGAAGTTCTGAAGATGCATATGAAGGTGCATGGGCAGTTCTTCAGGAGAGATATGGAAACTCGTTTGTAATTCAGAAAGCATTTAGGGATAAACTTAAGTCATGGCCTAAGATTGCACCAAATGATCCATCGTCTCTCAGAGATTTTGCAGACTTTTTGAAAAGTTGTGAAGAGGCGATGCCTCAAGTTAAAGGACTGTCTATCTTAAATGATTGTGAAGAGAATCATAAGATGTTGAAGAAATTACCAGATTGGGTTGTACGTAAATGGAGCAGAGTTGTTGTTGAAGTACTAGATGCATGTGGGGAATATCCATCTTTTGAATGTTTTTCTAGATTCATAAAAAAGGAAGCACGCATAGCATGTAATCCTATTGCTTCTCCATTTTTGTTAAAGTCTAGAACTTCTTCAAATGATCTTTCCAGAAAAGCAAAAGCTCTTAGTACCAGTACGGAGTTCAAGAAACAAGAAACTGTTCATGTTCTGAAATCTAAACTGCCTTGTTTGGTTTGTACAGACACGTCGCACAGTATTGCTAAATGCCCTAAATTTGCAGTTAAATCAATGGAAGACAAAATGTCATTTATACATCAGAACCATCTTTGTTTTGGATGCTTGAGAAAGGGCCATTTATCGAAAGATTGTAAAACACGCCATGTTTGTGGAGAGTGTAGACGGCATCATCCTACTTGTTTGCACCTGGAGAGAGTAAGATCTCAGGATGCTGCTCAGCAGTGTTCCATCTCTTCAGAAGAAACACCTCAGGTTTCTCGCAGTGTCTTGTCTCATGCACTCACCCGAAACATTTCTGCAACATCAAGTATTGTTCCAGTTTTTTTGTCCTCTGTGAAGGATCCTGGGAAGGAAATACTTACTTATGCACTCCTTGATACTCAGAGTGACTCCTCCTTTGTCCTAGAAGATCTTGTGAAAAACTTGACTGTTGAAACAAAACCAGTACAGTTAAAACTTAGTACTATGGTTTCTGTTGATGCACCTGTTTCAAGTGAAATTGTGTCTGACTTGCAGATTCGGAGCTTTTTCTCTGATAATTGTATAAGATTGGGGCAAGCATACACACGGGACTTCATTCCTGTTGATACATCTTGTATACCAAGTAGAAGTACAGCATTACAGTGGCCTCACCTTAAACATCTGGCTGGAAAAATGCCTGCTTTACAAGATTGTGAAGTAGGTTTACTAATTGGGTTTGACTGTCCTTCTGCCTTGGCTCCTTTGGAAGTTGTTGTTGGTGGGGAAAATGAACCCTTTGCTCAGAAAACTGCTCTGGGTTGGAGTATCATTGGGGCAGCTAATCCACATTTAGATCGGCAAGGTAACCAAAGATTTGTACACAGAGTGATGGTAAAAGAAATGCCAGCTCCATTAACCTCTGATGTTTTAAAGGCTCTGGAGATGGATTTTAATGAAAAGGGCCCAGAAGGAAAATGTGTTTCTCAAGATGACATTCGGTTTCTACAGCTTCTGAGTGAAAATATTACACAGAAAGATGATGGCCATTTGGAGATGCCCCTCCCGTTTAAAACACCTTGCCCTCCTATGTTGCCAAATAATAAGAACTGGCTAAAATTCGTTTAAACACTGAAGAGAAGGTTAAGGAAATTATCAGTTCTAAAATCATTACAAAACATTTTTGGAGTCCTCATTAGCTGGGGTGATGCTGAACTAGCTCCTGAGAAAAATGCAAGATTGTGTGTGGTACTTACCTCATCATGGGGTGTACCATTCAAAGAACCCAGATAAGCTAAGAGTGTGTTTGATGCTCAGCTAAATTTTGTGGTACCTTTTTTAAATGATCCCTTGTTGCTGGTCCAGTTTGAAAAACTTTTTTTTCTGCCCCAAAAAAAATGGCTTTTTTAAAGGGGGTTTCCAATTTTTTGTTGCTCAAAGCTCGTTGTTTCCTGGTTTTATGGGGAGCAAGGAGTTTGGGGGGGCCCAGCCCAAAGATAAAATTTGGGGGCCCTTTTTGGGCTGCCTTTGGTTGAAAATTTTGGGAAATATTCAACCCGCACAAATTTGTTTAAAAAAATTTGGGGGAAAAAAATTTTTTAGTTGATGTTTAAAAAAAGGCCTTAAAGAGGTGAAAATTAAAATAACCCAAAATTGAAAAAGGGGGTTTGGAACCCCCAAAAATTTTTCCGATCTAAGCCGGGGTTGGCCTAAGAGCCTTGGGGTTTCGTGTCCAACCCTGACTTGGGTTCCCCAAAAAAATTTTTATCAGGGCATTCAAAAAGATTTGGGTTTTTTAAATTATTAAAATAAATGATGGGGCATTTTGAGAAAATTTTTAAAAATTTGGGGAAATTTTTTCCCCCTTTTGAAGGAAAAAAAGGATTTTTTTAAGATTGTGGGAAAATATTGGGGGGGGGTGTTTTCCGGTTTTTAAATTGGTTTAAAAAAATAATTTACCTTTCGGGTTGGGGGGGTTAAATACGATGTTTTCATCCCAAGGTTTGGAAACAAGTAAAAAAAAATCTTTCCCAAGCAGAGCCCCCCTTTTGGGCACTCCCCTTTTCAGGTTTAGCAAAGGTTTAAAATTTGTTTTTTCAGGCTAAAAAAGTGCTTTTGAAAATTTACAATTTTTCTTATTTAGGCGGGTTTTATTGGATTGTTAAAAAAGATAATAAAAAGAGAAATTTTTCCCAATTTAAAGGGGTTTTTGCAAATTTAAAAATGGCCCCCGGCGGGTTTATTATTTTTAAAATTTTCCAAAAAAGAGGAAAAAATCCAAATAAGGTTTTTTGGGGGTGTCCCCTTATTTTTTAAATTTTTTTAATTTTTTCAAATTGGGTTAATTTTTTTGGAAAAGGGGGGTTTTGGGTTTAAAAGAATTTTGGGGGACCCGAGGTTAAAAATGTTTTGCTTTTTGCTAAACCGAGGTCGTTTTTGGGTTTTTTTGTTTTTTTGGTTTTAAATGATTGTAATACCCAAAAAATTTTTTTTTAAAAAAATTTTTTTTTTGGGGGAGTTTTTTGGGGGTTTTTTGTTAAATTTTTTTTTTTCCCCCTTTTTTTTTTTTTGGTTTTTTGTTTTGTTTTTTTTTTTTTTTTTTTTTTTTTTGGGGGGGTTTTTTTTTTTTTTTGTTTGGGGGGTTTTTTTTTGGGGGGTTTTTGGGGGGGGGGTTTTTTTTTTTGGGGGGGGGGTTTTTTTTTTTTTTTGGGGGGGGGGGGGGGGGGGGTTTTTTTTTTTTTTTTTTTTTTTTTTTTTTTTTTTTTTGGGTTTTTTTTTTTGGGGGTTTTTTTTGGGGTTTTTTTTTTTTTTTTTTTTTTTTTTTTTTTTGGGGGTTTTTTGGTTTGGGGGGGTTAAAAATTTGGTTTTTTTGTTTTTTTTTTTTTTTTTTTTTTTTGGAAAAAAAAAAACCCCCGGGTTTGGGGTTTTTTTTTTTGGGGGGGGGGGGGGTTTTTTTTTTTTTTTTTTTTTGGGGGGTTTTTTTTTTTTTTTTTTTTTTTTTTTTTTTTTTTTTTTTTTTGGGGTTTTTTTGGGGGGGGGGGGGGGGGTTTTTTTTTTTTTTAAAAATTTTTTTTTTTTTTTTTTTTTTTTTTTTTTTTGGGGGTTTTTTTAAATTTTTTTTTTTTTTTTTTTTTTTTTTGGTTTTTTTTTTTTTTTTTTTTTTGTTTTTTTTTTTGGGGTTTTTTTTTTTTTTTTGTTTTTTTTTTTTTAAAATTTTTTTTTTTTTTTTTTTTTTTTTTTTTTTTTGTTTGTTTAAAAGGGGGGTCCCCTTTTCAAAAACCATTTTTGGGGTTTTTTTTAAACCTTTTTTTGGGTGGAGGGGTTTTTTTTTTTTTGGGTTTTTTTGGGGGGAAAAAAAAATTTTTTAAATTTTGGGTTTTAAAATAATTTTTTTTCAAAAAAAGGTTTCCCTTTTTGGGGAAAAAATTTTCCTGGGGGGGTCGGGGGGGGGGGGGAAAAAAGGCTCAAAAAAGGGTTGATTTTTTTTTTTGGGGGTTTATGTTTAGGGGGTTTGGGGAGGGTTTTAAAAGGGGGCCCATTTGGGGGGGGAAGGGTTTTGGGGGGGAATTTTAATGGGAAAACCGTTTTGGAAAATTTTTTTAAAATGGAGGGGGAAAAAAAAAAAGGGGTTTAAAATTTTTCGAAGGGGGGGGGGGGGGGGGGGAAAAACCCCAAAGGCCCTTTTGGGAAAAAGGGGGGGGGAAAATTTTGGGGGGTTTTTTTGGCCCCCGGGGGGGGGGGTGTTGGGGCAAAAAATTTTAAAATTTTTGGGGGGGTTTGGGGGGCCCCTCCTTTGATTATATTTGTCTGTTTTGATTACCACTGTTTTGTATTGTGTTTTGTTTATTGTATTTGCATGTTGTAAAATTTCCTTTGTTATGTACCTCACGGGCTGCCGCAGCTTAATGAGGACAGGCCCTATAAAGGCCGCTGTATCAATGTATGCCGACAATAACCCTCAGAGCCGTGCTTGCATTGTGATTCTTAGCGTTCCCTGGTGAAAGCAGCGAGGTACGTTTTATTTTGTTTGTGTGTTGTAAGTTTATGTTTATATTCTAATATTTGTATTTGTTTAGTTTTCACGGTGACATTGATGACTGAGATGATCCGCATCAAAGAAAATAAACATTGAAAATCACCTGTCGAGACCGCTGAAATTTCATTCACTGCTGGGGAGCTGCTACAAATGCAAATGTAAAAGTTCAAACATGCGACTTGATGCTCACATGATTCCAAGTTGCATGACTTGAATCCCCACTTCTCCTTGAACCTCAGTCGGCCTCAGCAGATGGCCGCTCACACTGAGCCTTGTTCTGCTGGAGGTTTCTTCCAATTAAAAGGGAGTTTTTCCTCTCCACTGTCGCTACAAGCATGCTTAGTGTGAGGGATTGCTGAAGAGTCAATGAGTCGATGCAATCAACTGGGTTTCCTTAGATAGAAAACTTTGAATCAATTTGACTGGATGATCTGGTGAACTGGAAAGTGAATTGAATATAAATAAACTGAATTGAGCTTCTGGAAAGTGAATTTATTTTTATGCACACTTCTCACAAGTCGATATCACTGGGGATTATGAAATACTGCTTTCACGGCCTCTCACACAACTTTAGTAGCAACTAAAGTGAAAGTTTATTTAAAATTGGTGAGCTTCACACTGAAACCCCCTCCTGAATGCTCATGTCTGTCAGGTATACACTTAAAAAGCTTTTGAAATGATTTTAAAGGGATCCTACAGTCTTACAGGAGTCTTCTATTCTCTACATTTTACAGCATATATACTTATGAGCTTGAATATCTAATCAGAAACATGCATTTCCTTCTGCTGTCATCTAAAAGGTAAAATAACTGAGAACAATTTTAACTCTGCACAATGCCACCCCCCATTATTCATTCTCTGTGATTCATCATGTAATGATCAGTCGGAAAAATGAAATGCATGATTTCAAAACACACTCAGAACTGTACAGTGTAATTAGAGCATATTATGCACTTAACTACAATTTGAATAATGTAATGCAAATTCCTTTCCGATGGGACTTTTGAAGGGGATATGCTTTACTTTTCAGTTATAACCAGTGGAGATGGAAGTAGAAAAAGAAAAATGAAAGGGGGGGAAAAAAGAGTTTAAAATCCCATCAGGAGCATCTGGATCTCTTGTTTTGACTCAGCTGTAAGCCTGGTAGCATTTTGTACACATCACAAGTTGTGTCAAAGTAATCACAGAGGAAAAGCTCCAACTGTTCCCAAACAAGTATCATGTAAGGTATGCTGACCTCCACTGCCTTAAAGACAATTTATCATTTAAAAACAGAAAAGCCTCTCTGTACCCACTGGTTATTGTATGTGCTTTTTATTGATAAAAGAGTCTTCTAATAGTTGTCTGAGGGTTTTCAGAGAATGCCTGTTCCACTGTCAGTACTCCCACGGTCAGGGCAGAAGCCAGACAGTCACCGTACTTCATAATTCAAACCTCATAAGTCCTAAATTGAATCTCTTAGATGCATTTCTCTTAATGTAATCCAGATTTATTGAATAATATCTCTGCTTCAGATTTATTATTTGCAGTAACAACATAAAT